AGGGATTATAAAAATTCTTCCCACCAAAGCCACAAGTATTATCGAGCAAAAGATAGTAAGAAACAGATTTCAAAAAACCTTGTATCCTTATCTATTGTTATAAAACACAACACAAAATTGTGGTAATGGACACATTCATCTTGGAGGTAGAGTGGAAGTTGCAGAAATTCCATATAACTTCTCCCTAAATTATATGAGCTGCAATTCAGTCATCAGGTTTTTTTAGGTAATAGTTTTGCTATGCACAACTTTAAGGTTCTTTTATACCAATCTACATCCTAATTTAAGAGCACCTAATGCCCTCGTTTTTATATGTTGGGAAAACTTCAAAAATAATCTATCTCCGGTAAATCCAAACACAGAGACATAGTATGACATTATATATCCTGCATATATGTATGTATATGCAGGATTTTCACATCTCTCAATTAAGCAACCTCACAAGACTTCACCACAGTCAGACCACAGGACAGTTCGTTTGGAAAAATGATCTGACAGCAATTTAAGGAAAAAGCTATTAAGAAAGGGTTAACTCAAGTACCTTCACCCTAATTCAGTGAGAACTCGATCCAAATTCTCACAGCAGGACTTTGCAAGGGACTGCTTAGTTGTTTAATGGCAGCTAAATGTTCTCATGTAGCAAAGAGCAGGCAGGATGCTATAATCTGAGATTACTGCTGCTTTCAGATAGATTTCAAATAAAGGCCATGGTGAAAACAACCCTACAATAATCTAATCAGAAAACCAGATCTTTTTCTTAATAAACATGGAATCTCAAATATTTTTACTTTGCTTGCAACATAATTTAGGGGTTGGATGTTTTGTAGATTTGCATTTTCTTCAGGCTTATAGATGAACATGGTGCTTAAAAAGCAAGTCCCTAAAAACTTTAAACTGTTGAATCAAGTGACCAAAGAACGAGCATAAAGCAGAAGATGGAACACTGAGTCACGAGGAAGAAATAGCAAGTTCTGTGCTGCATTACCCGTAAGTTTTATTCGCTCAGTTTTGTTATTTAAAACTGTCTTCTAAAACACAGCACAGCATCAGAAGCAAGGGTCAGACAAGTTACTGCTGTCTTCGAGAGCTTTAGATACCTAAGACAAGTGACAGTTGAACGTATCACTTGACTGCACAAGGCAACTCAGCACAGCTCTGACCAAACTCAGCGCTGCTTTTTACATTTGGGCACCATTTGTGGGCACAGTGGGGAAAAATCTTACAAAAAAGTCTCACTAGAAAATCAGTTAAACACATCATAGTCAATTCAACATCACACAAAGTACCTACAGTCAGGATGCTCCAAAGTTTTGATTCAGAGTCACAGACTTCATAAAAGTATTCCAAGGATGCTGCTTTACAGCAAGCTACCTCAATACACATGGGCATTGCTAATATTGAGAATAACTCTCTAAAGAAAGTCCACTCAGTGTGGTGAAAGTTATACTACTTTTTAATACCACCTAAACATGAAGCTCCAAAAACTGGGTTTCAGATCATCATTCAAAGGGTACTTGCCACTCCACCCCTTCAAATAATATCCTTTTGGTGAAGGAAGGAGAGAGCATAGAAGGGAGTAACATCTATTACTTTGCTTGTGGTACCATCGGTATCTTCATGTGACATGTCTTAAACATCTCTAGAAGCTCTGTTTTAAAAGACTAGCAGAATACCTAAAAGAAAAGTGCCTTAAATGGGAGGTAGTTCTATGCATGCAAGCCAAGTTTTCTGTATTTTTGCATTGTAAATTGTTGCAATAAACTAGCACCCAAGGACTATACACAAACCATAGAGGGCGAAATATGAGGAACCACTGCAAACTACATATTGTCTCAAATGTATTGAAAAATATAATGAGCTTGAATTTAGGCAGAGATCACTGGTATCAGCAAATATGAACTTGACAATCTCTTCTTAAATAAATGCAAGCTAATGTGTAAGATTAACTGATCATCTCTGGTACTATAGAAAGTCTAAAATACTCAAAATACTTAGCAGCAGCTCATGGGGAACACTGACACTGCTCTTCCTGACTCAGCCCCTCCGAGCACTTACAACTGGTTTCAAGTCACATGATGTTATTAGTTTCTGGCTTAGTTAAGGTAACTCCTACAGTCAGAAAAATTCTCAGAAACAACAGTTTAGAATCTCACTCACTGAACAGTATCCCACCCCACCCCCCATTAGAATATAAACAGCATAACAATCTTGCTGTTCACTCGAACCGGGCTGGAAAAAAAATATAAACCACCGATTTTTCAGTTTCTATCCTCCCCACAAGGCTTTAAATTTAGCAGTTGTAGTTTAACATAAATGCTTGCACGTCAACATTCAAAATGTTTTTGGCAATGAGTCACCATTTAGCAACTTGCAATACAAAAAACTTAAAATTGCATTTGCCTGGTACATTTAATTTCTGTAGTAAAAGGACAAGTTCAGATTGAGTTGCATTCCAGAAAGTAGCTAAACAATTCACCAGCACTTTCCTCTCTAACTGTTTTCACTTTAGGCCCTGATAAGAACACATGAAGAAAGATAAACCTCAAAACAAGTAATTTCAGCAAGCACCATACAAAACCAAGACAAAAAGAAACAAACTAGAGGAAGGGTTGTTGTGGGTTTGTAAAAATCATTATTTCTTAAAAGACTGTTATTAAATTACAGTTATCTAGGAAATTAAATTACTGCTGAGTATCCGTTGACATGGTAGCCCTACCCTAACAAAAACATTGCAGAACCAGTATTTTAGAAACTGAAAAATTAAAAAAACCACAGATTTGTATAATAAAATTAAGCACCATCTTTCCTTTGGCTTTTTATATTATAATCAAACTTCTCTGCACTATCTATCAGCTAAAGGAACCTTTATCTTTCCCACAATACATTCCAACTACTTCACAAGGTATATTGAAAAGAAAAACTACACTTACATAATTATCTACTCAATTTTAATTTCCTATGATGCTCAGTGAAATTTAGTTTTGTGCCATCTTCCAAACACGTAATATGACATTATTTTTGGTAACATGTCCTTTTACTTCAAG